CACCCCCCCCCCCATCTCTATCATTTTTTTTTTCTATTTTTTCCCCAACAAAAAAAAAATCGAATTTTATCATATTTTAGAAATAGAAAACAATATTTTCGAAACAGTAAAACGTGATGAACCAACTTGGTTAGAGAGCGTCTCCTCACTTAACTTGGTTTGAAATTTTTTATGTAACGCATTCTGAATATGCATACAAACATTAGAAAATATGATTAATTTAATTTATACTATAACAGAGTTTACATATTGTCATTTTTTATTTTAGATAATAGAGTTTTCTGCGATGATTATACTTTGGTATTATAATATTAAACTTTGAATAATAAGTTTTTTAAAAAATCATATTCTATTTAAATATATGTGAACACGATGGATTTTTAACAACGGCACACATGGATTTTGGGTTTTTTTTTTAAGAACTCAAAAGAAAGCAGCTCTATACGAACATTTTGACCATGTAGAAGTACCTTATTTTTAAAATATAATATCACAAAATTACATAAGTCTCGACTCAGACTTGTAATATTTATGATTGAGAATTCGTTTTAGCTTTAATAAAGAGGGAATAACACGTTTTTAGCTTTTGTAACTATAGATAGCCCATCGATGGTTCGTATCATATATATATATATATATATACGTATAGCTCTTTATCGGTACTTGCATATAGTCATATTATATATATATATATATATATCATATAGTGTGTGTAATATTTGAAAGTACGAAAGGGTTGGTGGCTAAGCAATCCTATGATGAGGAAAGCTTTCGAGTATAGGATTAAAATACTAAAAAGGGGGTAGAATCAAGGGGAAGAGTCCCACAAAAACCCACTAGGGTTGTGGGATGAAACCTCAATGGAGATGGAAAGCCATGTGCATGGAACCTTGGTTTCTCCATCCATCCATGGAGTTCTCTTCTTTTCATGATGTATTCCTTTTGGAAGCTTTGAGTTTGGCCTATGCGCTCACACTCCCACATGTACACATATGTGTGCATGCGTGTATGTATATGCCAGCATGCATTGTGTTGTGAATCAATCCATGAATGATATCAGCACCTTCCCCCCCCCCTTCTAGTTATTTTTTTTTCTAACAATAAACAATGCTGTATGAAAAAACGTATATTATATATTTGTGTAAATCGCTAAATAAAGCACCGTATTTCCAAAACCCTAATCTTATATACATACCAAAATGAGAAGATGATTCGATCCCACATGAATGTCAGATCATTAAATCATTTGCTCTATGATATACTCGTACTTCTTGGCTTCACTTTTTTTTTTTTTCATATAATTGGAATTATAATGACCTCTCATTCTTTGATTTGCCAGCTATGTCTTTCCCATAGGTGTTTGGCATTTTCTATGTTGTTTTTATTTAACCAATATATATGTTACAGTATTTTATCCGTCAAGTCGGATAGATTTGTAATGAAAATCTGTATAACAACAACGAGAACGACTCAAATATCTCTACATTCGTGCACATCAATTTAGAGATTGCACATGATATTTCTTCCATGAATATACAAGTTTTTAAAAAAATGATAAATATCATAACATAATGCGTTAGTATGAATCATAATTTTATATCCAATCTAGATAGATCAACCGGTGAAATGGAGATACAAAACGTTTATTTTAACCCGAGTTCGAAACTCGTATTTCTGCGATTAGTTTGGATCTCGACCCAAAATACCTGGTTACAAAAAAAATGAATCATAATTTATATATATATATATATATATATTCTATTTCTTTCATTTTAGTATTTACAAGTGGTGGAGTTGATGATAAGAACTCGAAACTAATTATTAATTAGACGTTTGGAACTAAAGGTGAATATATATATATATATATGTGTATATATATTCCAAGGGCCATGCATGCACATATACATATTTGTATAGTGTGTGAGAGTCTGTGATTAATTAATGAGCATATTATTCTTACTAAATATTGTAGATCAAATTAACAGTATTATTGTAATGGAAGCTAATTATATTATGAGTCACGCGTAATCAAAAAAGGAAGCTGAAAGGCGAAATCATTGGGATATGAAAACACATCGTTAGGCGTAAAGTGAATTTGCAGCTCATTCGCCAACTTCACACTGTGCAGAAAGTTTGTAGTAATTAATTATTTCTTAATATAATAATAGTAATAACGATATGTATTTTATTTTATATACTATATATTCATCGTTTCCTATAAATGACGGTGCACTGCACCAATTTATTATAATACCTTTCGGGTTTTTTTATTAAACTAGTAATTTTCATACTTTCCTTTTTTTAAAAGAGTTTCCATTAAAATTTTTAAAGTTCTCGCATTTGTTTTGATTAAAATCACAGCCACTCACTAGCTACTATTTAATTTGGTTGGTATCTTATATATAAACGTTGAATTTGAATGGTTATATTATATATATAATATAGTGTCATTGTGGGCATTAGAATTTTGGCATGTTCATTACAATTTTGGGCCATTAATTATTCTACAAATCTCGTCGTGACTATAAGAAAATTCTCATGTTGAAAGTATATATAGGAGATGCAAGCTTCATGCAATTAGAAGAAATCCTAATATTCTCGATTCGATACAACTGGCCAAATAGTATGTGTTATTGTGTGTGTCTGTGTATATATATATATGTGTGTGTGTGAATATATATATATATATATATATGCATATGTATGTTTATAAATATTTGTTGATATAAAACATATTCAGACAAATAAACGCAAATCTCAGCTTAGAATATCCACCTTCTCATATTTGTCTGGAGATGAGATGTGCTTGAGTTAAAATAAGGCGGAATTTGTGAAGCTCATGATGCCAAAGCATGTCCTGAAGTTAATCAGGCCACCCTGGTGGTAATTATTAATTAATTTGAGACTAAATAATAATTAACGTGCTTAATTATAATTCTTCTGACTTGTTGTTTTTATTAGTCTGTTTTGTTGGAGTTTTTTCTTGTGTCGTCTATCTTCTCCTCGTCTGGTCAACAATGATTAAAGTAAACGAATATTTGTACTGCTTATAATTATATAAACATTTAATTGTTATTATAGTTATAATTAACAAAATTTAGGTTCATGATTGTTAAGGGGACCCCCTACCAAATATTACAAGAGGATTTTTTTTTATGTTTTATAAAATATTTTAGGAGGATGAAGAGTCTTCACCATAGCTTTCTAGAGCTCTCAATTGGGTTTTTTTCTTTATTTTTATTTTGTTGTTTATTTATACATATATACGAAATAGCCACATGTACATATATTGGTAGAAAAAGAGGAGAAGTGAATTATATTACCCAAGAAATACCAAAGAGCAATTACACAGAGAACAAAATCTCTGTTATTGGGTTCTTCTATTTATTTTTTGGGCAAGTAAAGTAATCAACAAACGAGGAATTAAAAAAATGCGGTATAACCAAATAAATCATTAGGAGGTAATATCAATCATAGTATATAATATCTTTCCGAGACGATAGAAATAGATATTCCTTTTGGAAAACAATTAATGGGTATCCCTAAATAAAAGATGAAAATAAGAATAATGTCACATGAAAAACCTTTGAAGAATATGCAACAAACCCATGAAATAAGGAATATGAGATCTTGCAGAATCTATTATATGTATAAAAGCCAATTGATATTAATTTATTAATAATATTCTCTTTAGTTTATTAATTCAGAAATGATTGGCAAATATGAGAACCCTAGATTTTCCAGGATCTTATAAAACTAACCTCCAATAAATTTCTTAATTATATCTGACCATCACACCATTTATAACTTTCTTCCACTGAAAATAAAATAAAAATGCATGAAAACAATAATGGAAGAGAACACTCGTAAAAATCCTATGTGGAATATATGGTGGCATGTGTTTTAGATTCTTCTCCCCTATTTAGTATAAAATATATAATTAATTTTAATTCGCTAATATATTTTTTAATTTCTTAAAGTGGGGTTGAAAGACAGAAAATCTTACTAAAGATTATGGGCACCAAAAACATTGATTAAAAACGGATTTTCTTGTCAAGGGCATATACAGTTTATCGTAAGATCGATGTCTTTATTATAGATCATTCCATTTTCATATATTTTTTAATATTTGTTATACGTATATACGCACACCTATATACAGCGTATAG